GTTGCCCCATCTGGTTCAGCATGGGACCAATGTTGCCCCTGCTTTTCCTCTGGCTCCCCACATATCTGAAAAAGGACTTTTTATTGTCCTTGATGCTCAAAGCTAATTGGAGTTCAGTTGCAGCCTTGGCTTTCCTGGTATGCTCCCTACAGGACCAGACCAGTGCAGAATAATCCTCCTTGGAGGTGACTCCCATCCTCCATCCAATTATTTGGGCAGAGGCCCTCTTACTGAGGGCAAGCCATCAAGGCCACATGACACGCAGCCAGGGGCAGATAAATATTAATTTTCTAAATTTTTTTAGGGGCCCCATGAGCCGGATAGAATGGACTGGCGGGCCGCATCCAGCCTGTGGGCCACATTTTGCCCACCCCTTGTCTATGTAGTAACAGATGCTCTCCTCTCATCCATGTCTACTGTCTCTGAAAGAGCATAAGCATTTTCTTCAGAACTCTTGCCTTTCCTTGATTATCTTGATCAGTTGTTCTGAAGTATCCTAGTTTACTTCAGTGAGTAGTGCATGGGATCAAAATCATTAAGTATATTTTAGAATTAGGAGTATTTTTATGTTGCAGAACATGCTTATCCTATAGTGATACTTCTCAAGATTAGTGTGATTGTATGTGATATGAAAGAGTTTAATTCTAAACTAAAGTATCCAAACTGGTTACTAGAACAAAAAATTATATTCTTCATTTTTAATTACTTCATTGTCATATGAAACAACTTTCAGATATGGAATTATTTTTTCACAGATAAAATGGATGACCTTACCAGACAACTGTTTGCTGATGTACAAAAAGAAGAAAAACAAAGAATGTATGAAATATAATTTAGATATTTTAAACCTACATTTTTCTTACTCTCTCAGCCTTTTTTTTCCTTGTAATATAAATAAATGTATTATGCATAAGAATATGCATCTCTTAGTACTCCAGGATTTATAGCAGTGGTTGCATCTACACGTGCAATTACACGTGTCACACAATGTGTCACAGCATGTATACACGTGTCTGAGACTGCAGCAATATATGCCCGTGGTCAGCATCTACATATGCAGTAAATTCCCCCATTGTTAGATAGTACAGGTGACCCTTGCCATTCATGGGGGATACGTTCTCAATATGCCCTGTGAATGGCAAAATCCGTGAATAAGGTACTGTGTTCATGAAAGCAGTGCCCCCAGCAGCTGGGGGGCGGGGGAAGGGCTGGAGGGCACGGCTCCAGCAGTGGGAGTGCAGTGGTGGGAGCACAGTGGCAGCAAGTGCGGAGCTCCTGTAAGTGTATAAAGTGTATTTAAAATGCGGGTTCGGCATTCACGAATGCCAAACCCATGAATAGCGAGGGTTTTCTCTACTGTCCCCACCAATACTATCTTACAGTGACATTAATTAGTTTATTTTACCTAATACCGTTGCGCGTGTAGATGGTGATGCTCCATAGCTAATTAGTCTACTCTGCAGTTAGGTGCATGTGTAGACATGGCCAGTATATATTTATTTTAGTAGGAAATTACGATTCCGCAAAGATGAGGATAAAAACTTGAAAATGGGCCAGTCACATGTAGGAAATTATACTGTAGAACTGGAATCCTTTTGCTTCTAGAATTGTGTTCTGTTTCAATCTTTTGACCATCAAGAAGAGATTCTAATCATAACAATCTCTCTGGAGATGCAGTTTAATATAGTTTTGGGGAAGCAGATTATAGCCACATAAATCAAGTGGAGGACAGAAGAGAAGATTGGTCTTGGGGAAACAGGTTATAAATGTACTGTGTCCACAACCAGCTTTCCTTCTTATTCTCTTTAGCAGCTCATCTATACAGTCAAAGAAATAATGGGTATTTGCTTGATAATAGAAAAGGTTCCTTCCGTACAGTATTGCATTTTTGGAACAAAACTCTGCTTTTTCACAGTTTATGATGCTTTGAATTATTGTTGCTTGAAAACAGACCTTATGAATCTAAGCCCTATAACTTATGCCCGCAGAGGTGGTATTCAAAAACATCTGGTTCATAGATTTCACATGAAATCTATGAACCAGATGTTTTTGAATACCACCTCTGTGGGCATAAGTTATAGGGCTTAAGGTACCAAATAAAAAATGTCCCTTAAATGCAAGAAATACTCACTGTCTCCAAAAGCTGGTTCTTTTTAGATGTATCTGAGTCAAGCTACAGGTCAGGTTGAAATAAGTTGTGTGACCTTTCTCCAGGTTTCCATTTTCCCCACTACCCTATTGTCTTAGAAGCCACTCTGGTTCTCCCCTTGCTCCCCCTGAGTCTCAGAGGAAGCTACCAAAAAGCGCAGGGATTCTTGAAATGAGCATAGTTCAAGAATTGGCATAGGGAATGTTATACTTCTGAGCCCTTTACCTCAGGTCTCCTATATCTAGGTGGGCAGTGGAGGAAGGAGGCCAGGGGGTTTCACTGATCAATTCTGTAGATAGTTCTAGGAATCTAGGTGGAATTATTTTCACAAGGGGTCAGTATAGGCCTAACTCTTCTCTCATTAAAACATTTTTCAGTCTCTAAAGCTGCCAGTCAAAAATAAAACAAACAAACCAAAGAGATGAAAAAATATAAAATGCATTTTCTCTCTGATTCTGAGTAGAATACTAGAGAAAAACTTCCAAAATCAGAAGCAAGACTATGAAAAAGAAATCGAATCACTGAAGGAGGAAATTAAGACTCTCAGAGAAGAGAAAATTCAACTACAGCATCAAATTCAGCAAGAACTTATTATTCAGGATGGCTTAAAAATGGAAGCAGGACAGCTTACAAAACAGTTGCAGGTAAGTAAATGCATCCAGCAAACAGTGCTGAGATGAGCCATTCCAGTCAGAATCTTCATTACATAAAACAAAGAGTGGATGAGAAAATTCTATTTTTGCTGGGTAGATTTATCTATAACATGATTTAAAACAACTTTTAGTTGTTGAATCTGTATGATGTCATAATAGCATGTTTTAACTTTTGACTTTAGTACAGAAAAAAAAAAATACTGTTACTTTTATTTTTTTTAAATGTCAGCTACTTAGTGAATTTATTGGAAGTAAAGTATGAAAATTGCACTTGAAGAAAAGTCTCACAATATAATGTCAGACTTTAGAAAAAAGTCATAATTTATTGCCCTGTACAAAAGAACATTTGTTACATCATGGTTCCCTTACAATAAACACATAACAGTGAGAACTGTGCCTCCTGAAGGACTGAAACTGGAGCTTAAGCAGTTGTCCATTAAAATGTATGAATTTCCATATGGAATAAGGTACTGCTTTCTTAGGCAGGTGTTTTCTAAATGTAATCTAGTCTCATTTGTAAACTTTGTTTCTGCTGAAAAACAGCAGCAACAACAAAATCTTTTTTTTAGTGTCAAATATTATTGCTTAGACTATATAAATATATATGGCTATGTCAAATCTTAAATTTCTGTTCTCCCATTTAGAGGAATGTTTAAGAGAGTGCTGACCTAAATAGAACATTGTCTTGTAAAATGTTGATCAAGCAGCTCTAAATCATAATATTCCATATGATTTAATTTATATCTGGACCATCTGTCATCCATCTTTATCTTATTCAATTTTGTCTCGTTCTAAAAAAAAAAAAAAATTCTAATCAAGACAATGTCTATTTCAGATAATACCTGAATTGCAAAAAGAAATTGAACTGCTTCAGGCACAGAAAATTGATGTGGAAAAGCAGGCCCAATCCCAGAAGCGAGAGATGAGAGGTAGTTTACTTACTGTCCAACTCGGGGAATTTGCAAGAGCAGCATAACATTTAATTGCCTCATCCTGTATTTGTTCAGTGGTGCCTGTCAGGTTTTTAAGGTACTTTAGAAAAGCACAAGTAGAGATCAGAACTGTCTCAGACCATTTAAAAAGTCCCAAAGCCCCTTCCCAACTAGAATGAACTACATATCATCAGTCACATCTTCCTCCTTAAGAGAGAGCCAGAGGCAACAAGGTGAGTCTTGCAGCATGAACACTGAGTGTTAATACAAAGACCCTCTCACTGGGAACAATACTTTCTACTCCCTCCCATTTAAATGTGGGTGCTGTTAGCTCAGGTGTTCAGTTGCACTGGGGGAGAGAAGGAAAGAAAAGGTCCTTCCAAAACACCATTCATACCATTCAGTGCTTTAAACTAACCCAAACTTACAATTTAATCTTCACTTAGAAATAAGTATCCAGTACAATTCACAGAACATAGATACACTCTCTAGTCCTAATTCAGCAAGGTAATTTTAGATATGTGCTTAGCTTTAAATACACAAGTAGTTTCATTACAGTCAAAAGGACTACTTGTTGCTTAAAGTTAGGAATGAACTTAGGTACTCTATTGAATTGTGGCCTTTGTGATAAACACCATTGTATAATTGTGCCGCCATTTTGCACTAGATGCAATACCAGATGTCTTGATGATGCAGCCCTCATTAACATATACTGCTGACCTTTGACAGAAAGGGCAAATCATGGGTTCATTTGCCAAAGCTGCTTTTTTCTAGATATCCACAAGTATCAAGGGGTTCAACAAAGCATCTGGATTGAATTTCCCAATTAAATCTATTTGTCCCAAGCATAGAACCTGATTTTTTTTTAAAGGCTGATTTGATTTTTCCTGGGACACAGGTAATCTAAAATCTAAAAAGAAACTTTATTTTCAGAGAAAATGTCAGAAGTTGCAAAACAACTCCTTGACAGCTATGACTTAGAAGATGTAAGAAGCAGGTAACCTATTGATTATTTTCCTAGGTTTTTTTTTTTTCTGGGGGGGGGGTTAAATAAAGCAGACTTCAGAGATTTTAAGAAACATAATTTCTTTAGTCATCTACAATTGTTGTTGTTGTGCATTCTAGGCTCTCTACAGAAGATTTGGAACATTTAAATGAAGATGGAGAAATCTGGTTTGCTTACGAGGGCCTGAAAAAAGCAACAAGGTTAGCTTAATCATGTAATACATATTCATCATTTTGCTCTGGGGTTCAGAGGAGACAGCAAGGGGCAGTAATATGGCTTATCTTAAAAGTAGTTGAAAACATAGTATAACACACAACCAAACATTGTCAAATAACTGGTTAGGGTTGAAGTACCTTTAGATAGTTGGATGCTGAAGCTTGGGAATACCACTCCTGCCAAGTTTGTCTGAAGAGATGGGGTTTGGAGCAATGGAATTTCTTCAGAAAAAGATCCATGAGATTTAAAAAGGTGTAGGGCTGGGAAACTTGGGAGACTTCAGAAGGACTCAGAGAGATATAGAAAGCTAGGACAGAAGACATAAACAGAATGTCAGTTTTTCATAGCAAAGGACTCCAGTTTAATTTTGGGGCAGCTATGATGCAAAGAAACTGGCTGCATAGAAGCTCATTGACCCAAAAGAAGAAGGAAATCCTAAACTCCTTTTGAAGGCTTTGACCTAAGTGTAAAGAACACTTGAGTGCTGAAGAAACCAAGGCAGGGAAATGCATGTAGATATGCATTATATTGTCTAGATCTGCCTATTTTTTGTGCCATCTAAAGTTAAGGAGCGTTTGGTTTCTGGAATCCTCATAAAGTTTCTTCAGCTGTCATATGAATGCTGTTAACTAGATTGCTCACAATATTGGAGGTCTGGGAAAGGTTACCTAAAAATTTGAGTTGAGGGGACCTTGGGCATTTGGGTTGCATGGTCCCATTTGCGTATAATTGAAAAATTCTACACTGAGGACATGAATCAGGGAGGCTTAGAAATGAAACATTGCCTGGGACAAAATTAAGAGCATAGAGATCTAAAAGGGAAAGACCTGAGCAGCAGCCCGAGCTGCACCAGAACTGTAGGGCAGCATGAATAAAGGATTACTTATGTGAGTAAGACTTGCAGAATTGGACATTATAAACATTGAGGCAATTACATTTTACAGCAGTATTCTATGCAGAGCAAGCACTGAAACCCCCTCCGGGTGTTTTTAATAGAGGAGTTTTTATGGAGCTGCATGAGAAAATCCGTATAAATCCTCATTTTTTGGTAGGAGATGAGACCATTCACTATAAAAGCCACTGGGTATAAGGTGCTCATACTCTTATGGTGGACATACTGTATGTAAGAGAGCATTTTCTGTTTTAAATTAGTCACACAGATCCTATTTAGGACTGTGCAGGTAGAAAAGGGAAAGAATTATGACCAAGTTTCAACAAAAACTGCATTGTTACTTGTCAGACCCATATGTATTGGGCTGAAACCACAGTGAATGTAATTAGGGCTTTCTTACACTTTAATCCACCTCAAATTGGTTACTTTCTCTGATTTTATGTATCTGCATGTCTGTCTTAAGAGGTTCTAAGGTTGTTAAAGGAAATCCCCATTCCTTAAAGACTTAAATAGTACATTGCATGAGTGCTGAGATGAGGACAAATGAGAAAATTGAACAGTTTTGAACTGAATATTCAAGGCTGCTTACAGACATGGAAAAAACAAACAAACAGTGCTTTACTTTAACTTGGCATGCTCCCACACTGAGCCCAGCGCATGCCCAAAAGAGGCAGTGCATTAGTTGCACCCACTTTCTCATTGTCTGTAGAGATTAGATGCTTTAGTGGGGACTTTTTGGTGCTTAATTCTAGTAGTTGATTGAATCAGCCTTAGCTAAAAGCATCAAAAAGCACTACTGAAGCACCTGATATCTACAGATGCTGCAGAACCAAGTCGAAGTAACGGGCTGCTGCTTTCAGTAGAATGCAGTTCTGGGGTTTTTTGTTCCCCATGTCTGTCAGCACCCCGTACGGCTAAAACTACCCAAACTAACCCCTCATAATATGAAACAAAATGTATATTTTGGGATATCTTGTGCTTACACAAGTTCCATGGAGGTACAGATTGTGCGCTCGCCAGATATAACTGGATGCTAACATAGTGTCTTATTATTACTTTGGTTTGATTTTAACCATAAGAGAAAGCACCAAGATTATATGAACCTGTGGTTTCCATTTTTCTTTTTTAACAGAGTATTGGAAAGTCATTTCCAGTCTCAGAAAGACATTTATGAAAAAGAGATTGAAGCTTTGAACTTTAAAGTTGAACATCTCAGTCAAGAAATTAACCATTTACAAAAGTTATTTAGGGAGGAAAATGACATAAATGACAGTATTCAGCTCGAAGTCAGCAGGCTAACATCAGAAAACATGGTAAGATTCAAGTAGTACTGGGCAATTTTTTTTTCTTTTAATACCCTTAAAAGATTTATCTTGTCTATCAATCATACTTGTTAAATGGTCTTCATTAAACTATTAAAACAATAAATAGCTATTAAGCTATTAATATAACATTTTTCCCAGTGCTGAGCCAAATAAAACAGAATTGCGACATACTATACTGCTTGCTGACCTTACTGTGTTACAGATGTATATACCAAGCAATCACTGTCATACTGAAATGATATTTAGGAAACAATTCAGATGCGACTTGTAGGCAAAACAGTGGGGTTTTCCCACTATTAGTTTTGAAAAGTGCTGTCCAATGTGTAACATGTACCTGGAACAGATGGGCAGAAATTTGTTTTGTTGTTTTATGTGGAAGTTGTGAACTTTTTCATTGTAACAGCTATTTGAACAGCAAAGTTAAAAAAGGTTCAAATCCAATAGTTGGAGGTAGTCATAGATTCATAAACATTATGGCTAGAAGGGACCTCGGAAGATCATCGAGTCCAGCCCCAGTCCATAATGATATCCTCTGTAGCTGCATATACATAGCCATCAGTATTCTCATAGATCCTTCACATTATTAGATAGTATTCCAGATCTCTAGCTTAAATAGCACAGACCTCTAGTAATTAAGCTAAAGGGGGTTCTTTCTCTGTTATATGTCAATTGACTTTTAAGTCTTATATCCTCTTTATACATGTTGGAGCAGGTTTGATACTGTGTCCACTAGAGGGCAGTTGTATACACAACAAGTAGCTAGTAAATTACAAACATCACTTACGAGTCCAAAGACTGGACATATATGTCAGTGAAGTATTTAGAAATTAAATTATTCATGGGTTTTTTCTCTTTAAAGGTGATCCCAGACCTTAAACAGCAGATTTCTGAACTGCAAAACCAAAAGATGGATCTTGAAAACCGCTTTCAAGAACAGACTGCAAAGATGAAAGGTAAAGTACCAATGTGGGGCCCAGGCTTGCAAGCACTCAATGTAAGCCTGAAGCTTACTAAAATGAATTTCAGGGTTTTGGCTTTTAAAATCTCAAGCATAACATTTTGTTAACTCAGGTTTTGTGTTTTTCCCTTGTTAATAAAATGTGAAACTATATAAAGAAAATGTAAGGTGTTAGTACAGTTTATTTTTGTGTGATCTTTGCACTAAGCAGGTATGAAAAGCATTAAAGCTGTGTTAGCAAGTAGCCTGGACAGAGCAGCGCACCAGCATAGCTAGATTGTTTTTAGAACCCCAGCTAGCTCATTCAGAGCTAGACTGAGTCTCTGTGCAGCACTACTTTGTGCTCCATAAGTATACCCTAATGATCTGTAATCTAGTCACAAATGGCCAGTAGACAGTTCCCCTCATGATTTTGCCTACAGTAATGAAAGATTTCCTAGTTTCCCCCATGCATAAGTTACATAGTACCCTGCAAAGGTTTTTCATTTGTGTGAGGCTTCATTGCTAAATGTAATTGCTGTAGTAGTGCCACAAATGACTGGGCCATTTAGTAATCATATTGGAGTACTATTGGTAGAAATAATCAGTTATTTAACTTTTAATTACATGCCATATTCACTGCAAATTGCTCTGATGTTCTATGGTATTTACCATGTAGTGTTCAGTTCTGTACCTTTTATGTGAATTCAACTCCCATTGTATACTGGAACTAATATCAAGTTGTTGCTATGTAAGGAAAGGACTTTTTAATGCAATATTTGCTTTGTAATCCAATTTCAGTAGATGAAATAGGAAGTGATTCATACTTCCTTATAAATACTAATGTTCTAATATTATAACATAATCCTCTAACATAATAAAGTGCTAACATAGTCAAGAAGCTGCTCCCCTATGTGGATTTTGTTGTGTGGGTTTGTTTTGGGTTTTTTGTTTTGATTTTTTTGTTGTTAAATTATCACAGGAAAAATGGAAGGAATATCTGAACAGTTGCATCATAATCTATCAAAGGAAGGAACCCCAAGGAGGTGAGTGGTATTTATTTCGGTGGTGTTTTTTGTTATCGTTGTTGGGGTTGTTTTGCTTAAAAAAAAAAAAAAATCTACCCTATTTACTTAAATGTAAGATGATTTCCCCCCCACACCTAATTAGATTCTATAGATGGAAAATGTATTAATTTGTTATAATTTCCCATGTATAGAATATAATTATTAGAGGACTGTCTTGAATTCATCCTCCCCACTGCAGGGGGGCAGGCAGGTGGTATAGGAAAGTCAAGGAATTCCCCCTGCTTGTGCTTGCCACCTCTGTTCCCTTCCTGACCACCCCAGCCTCTAGCCCCTTCTGTCTCTGCTCCCCCTCCTGCATCTCCCCCCAACTTCTGCTCCCTCTTTCTCCCTCCCCACCAGCCTTTGCTTCCTATTCTCCCCCCCACCCCTTACCCTTACACTGTGCCAGTGGGCTCTGTCCCTTTTTAACCTAGGGCACTCAGCACAGCTCCAGCGCAGCCCGCTAGCAGCTGTGCAGGCTTCAGGCTGCTGCAGTGGGCTGGGCTGGGGCTGTGCTCAGTGCCCTAGGCTGCAGTGTGCACAGTCTGCTGGCACTGACCAAGGGTAAGGGGGCAGGTGGGGAACAGAGGCAGTGGGGATGGGAGGAGATGGAGGGTTGTAGAGGTGGTGGGTGAGGGGAGCAGGTAGCGGTTGCAGCTACAGCCCCAAGTCCAGATAGGGGCTGGAGCCCAAGCCAGAGCAACCACCTGCTGGCCCACCACCCTTGTAATCCATTCTAAGACAAGGGGCCCGCCCTGTTAAATGGGAAAAAAACTTTGTCTTGGAAGTGAGTAAATACAGTATTTGAGAAATATGGATATCATGCCACAGGTTGGATGGCCAAAGACAATTTAAATCTTTAAGTGCTGGAATTTTATTTAAGAATCACTATACATTCCTGGGGGACTCTGTGGGAAAGTACTTCTGGTAACTTGATAGGTGCCCCAGAGGGAAAGAACACTTAACCTGTTGTTTAGCAATATTGTACCTTGTGGGAAGAAGGATAAGAAAAGAATAAGACCTTTTTGTGATTTCTAGAAAACTGGAAGCTGAGAATGAAATATACACAAAAGAAAAAGAAAAGCTGATTGCCACAAGCCAAGAAATTCAGGAGACAAACAATCACTTAAAGAAACAACCTGAAAATGAAATAGAGAGGCAGGAGGCATCTCGCCTTGCTGTGGAAAACATGGTGAGGAAGCAAAGTTTTCTTCAGAATCCATAGCAGAGTGTTAGTAGGAAAAGAAATCCAAGATTCTGGGGTATGAACTAGACACTTCCCTGCACTGCACAAATGTACAAAGGGACAAGAGAATGGGCAGGGGTTGTTCCAGGTCTATATTGGGCCAGGCACATGTTCCCTCCTTGTGTTGTGTCTGTACAAAAAATGAGGAGCTCTAAAGCCAGCAGCAGCATTAGATATCTGAATGGGGAAAGGGACAAGGTCACGACCCTATTGCTGCTACAGCAGATCCAGGCCACCATTCCTAAATGGCAAACATGCCACTGTTGTGTGAGCTTTCCATGCAGTCCCTCTGTTCTGTTTGATTAATGTGCATTGCCTCCATGAGCTATCACTGGATACTAATATTCCTACCCTCCCCCACCCCCAGTGCACAGGTACAAAATTACATACAGAAGTGGAAGGCATTGTTTAAAGAACTACAGGTAGTTACAGATTCATTGACTCGTTTTGTTTGATTTTGTAGGAGCTTGAAGAAAAGCTAGACATGAAAGACAGGATGATAAAGAAACTGGAGGATCAGATCAAGACTCTTACCAAAACTATTGAAAAGGGTAGGACTTACTTCATACAGTTTAAAATAATTTTGAATGGATGGCATAGTGTAAGAATGAGAATGTGTGTTGGTCACAGTGTTTTGAAATTCAAAATGTCATAATTTCTTCCATTTTTTAGCCCATTCTTGACTAATATTAAGATATGTAACTAGTGTCTTTCTGTCTTTGTATTGCAAGTAGTGAAGTAAGATTTTTTTTTTCTGTGGGGAAGTGTTTGCCAATAATAATTGGACCCATAAGCTGAAGGTATTTTTGCAAATGGGAACTACACTGTATTTGTTACAGTAAGAACTGCAGCTCTCTAATAATTTGTTGTAACATTTACCTACAAGTAACAGTATTTTTGTGTTTGACAGCCAATGAACTGCATGTGCCAGCAGCACCTAAAGAATACATTGGAATGATGGAATACAAAAAGGAAGATGAAGGAAGAATTGTTCAAAATCTAATTCTTGGTATTTCAGTAGTGTTTTGATTATATTTAGTTATAGAGGGTTAAATAAATTCCAGCTTTTTGTGTTTCATTTATCTCGTTATTAACTCTGATCTTACCTCCCTTCTCTCTCAACTCTAACATTACTCCTAGGGGCTTCATACTTCTATTAATGGTTGATTCATGTTTCAAGGGCAGAAGTGCTTTATTGGAGTTTCAATCTGACTCCACTATCTTTCTTCATCTTTGTTCATTTCTGAAACTAGAAATCTCAGAAGTACTCCAGGACCCTGAATTTCTTTTGATTCCAGGTCTACTTTGTAAGTTATCAATCTCATATCTAGTCCTCACCCCCTGGCTTATCTTTTCTCATCCATCCGTGGTGTGGATATAACATCTAGTTGTGATCTGTATTGTGTGGGCTTGACCCATTGTTGTCCCACAGCATCGACCCCTTTCAGTCAATGGGTATGAACCCATTTCCTTCCCTAACTTTCTCTACTCTAAGGGTTGCACTTTCACTTATGTCTTCCTTCATGACCTTTTTCCTTCCTCCTGAATAATTTCCAACCTTTAAATCTTACCATAAAACCTATATCCTTGCTTTAAGCTTTTAATTTCCCATGATCTTCACTGCTCCCATTAACAAATATGCAAGAATGGTTGATATCTCTATTGCCTGGAAATATCATTTGTCTTTTCTGACCTATTGAATTGCTATTAGTATCCACTTACAAGAGACATTGTACTCTATAAACTATCACAGAATTTCCTCTGTGGCTCTGCAAAGCTTATATTACTTATATATGAAATACCGTAAATGGGAAGATATGGTATCATAATCAATTCATAATTTGGTTATTGAGTGTGATTTCATACCGTATTTAATTAATTTAAGCCATTTACCTTTTGAATAATAACTAGATGGGATCGCTGTATTTTCTTATAAATAGTGACTGCTCAATGACTCTGTTTTACACAGATCTAAAGCCACGTGGTGTGGTAGTAAATATGATACCAGGTCTTCCAGCTCACATCCTATTTATGTGTGTGAGATATGCAGACTATCTCAATGATGCTGATATGCTGAAATCTTTCATGAACATAACCATTAATGGGATCAAGCAAGTTATTAAGGTAAAAATATTTCTTGTGCACTTTGCTGTTTTGTAGGTTTCATTGTCAATGCATCTAAAAAGTATAGAATGTGCACACTTGATGCCTGGAAAAACACTTGAGTTTTCATCTGTTAGGAAGATTATTGTTGGTCATATTTTAACGATAGTAGCACTGCAGTAGTGCTACATGCTTCTTGTGCTGCTCTGAGCTCAGTACACACATGATGATTGTTTGTCCTTATCCCAGACGGTTGATGAGGTTGAGCCATAATTTTTCTGAATACAGTATAACCGCATAAATCCGGCACTCAAAATTCTGGAATTCTCAAAAACCCGGCACTGCAGGCAGGTGGCATCGTCGGCTCCCGGGGCTGCAGCAGGGAGCACAGTGGAGGGAACTGTAAGTGGGTGCGGAGTGCAGGGCAGGGGCACAGCTCCTGCTGCTATGTGCACCGCAGGAGGGCTGTGGGGCTGTGCTGGGTTCTTCCTGGGGGGCGTGTGCCCCTGGATCTACACACCAGAGAGCAGGCTGCCACTGCAGGCTGGAGCCAGTTGCGGCACCAAGGTTCTTCCCAGTGCTTGGGGCAGGTGGCAGCCTGCTGTCATCTGGCACACTCCTGGGAAGAGCCCGCAGCCCTTCTGGGGTGCACGTAGCAGTAAGAGCCACACCCCCAAGCCCTGCACCCACTTACAGTTCCTTCTGCTTTGCTCCCTGCCGCAGCCCTGGGAGCCGAGGATGCCACCTGCCTGCTGTGCCGCACCCCTCCCCCAGCCCCTTTCCCAGCCCCAGCCTCACTCATTCAAAAATCCAGAATTTTCAAATTTCCGGCAGGTGCTAGGTCCCCAGCTTGCCAGATTTATGAGGTTATACTTTACTGGATATCTAAAAAAACAGTTGCTAAATATGTTAAGGTTGCCCATGTTTTCAGCCAGAGTAAAAATTGCTGAAAGCAGCAAAAATTGTTTAATGTGTGTGTTTGATTCTGGATTCTTTTGTGTGGAATATTAGGTGGTATTTGCATTATGTTTGAAGAGTGTACTAGCTTTTTAAAATGGTTCTTGTTAATAAAGCACTTAATGCATTTAAATCCTAGAAGATCAGTCCACTGATAAAGCCATGCTATAAGCCAGGATCAGCAGTCTGTTGATTCATATGTACTATAAAGTCAGCCATGTCATTCTTTCAATATTATATTGTGAATTTGTGATTCAGTAAAGCAAAATCCTGGTTCTTTTTCCAACAGAGGTGTGAGCAAACCACAATTTATGCAACCATGTTTGCAGTAGGGATGTGTTGTCAACTCATTTACAAACCAGTTCATGTTACTGTTCATGCCTCTGTATTGATTACGTCCCAAGAAAAGCATGTAATTAACTTGCCAACAAAAACCATATTTACCTACAGCTATGACTTGTGTAGGCTCTGCTTCTGAATTTCAGATGGGCCCCTTTAAATAGTTTACTTTCAGTTGTCTTTATATACAGTTTTTTGTAGTGAAGCCCCCTATTCTTGCAGTACTGTTTTTAAGCTTCTTTTAAACATGTCTCATCCACATTGTCTAGCCACCCCATGGTACTATTCAATTTAAATAATTCTAAGTATGTTGTGATGTGGAAATGAGAAGATTTCATTACTGAAGTACAGAGTACTTCAGAGAGACTGTCAAGTTCCTTTACTGTAGTATGAGACTATTGTACTAACCCTCTTTTGATTTTAAGGATTATATTTGTTTAAAAGATTTTGCTTATCATTGTTTAGGAACATATTGAAGATTTTGAAATGATGTCTTTTTGGCTCTCCAATACATACTATTTCCTTAACAGTCTGAAACAGTATAGTGGGGAAGAGGTAGGAATCGTTTCATTACTTTCTGTTTTATATAATTTCATTTAACTTCCTAACCAAATTGGACAGGAGTCATCAGCCAGGCTGTTTCACTGAAATATCTGAAACTCATTTATTTGAAATTCAAATTCTTTAATAGTTGTGATGTTGGCTTACATGTGTAATAAAATGGAATTGACCTAATATTCCAAAAGAGCCTAAGAAAATGTTAAAACGCTAAAATAGTATTAAAGCAAAAGAAAGAAACTTACCTTGGGAGTGCTGCTTAGTTTCATCTTCAGTTTAATATAAATAGGTTCTCAGAAGAGCAGTTATTTGTATCAAAAATAATTGTCACCCTTTCTTTCACTCAATTGTTACTGCTTCAGGCAGATATTGTTGCCATTTGATAACTGAGGAAGATTAAAATTTAGAATGCAATCAAAGAAGAAACCCCAGGAAAGAGTAATAAAATATTCAGTTTTACTTTGGTTCAGTGTGAAAACCAGATGAAGATTATTTTTTTCAGCTGTTTCATTTTGAGTTCTGTGGTTAGCAGAGGGGCAGGCAAAATGTAGGCCTGATCCAGCCCACCAGGCCATTCTGTCAGGCCCACGGGGCCCCTCCAAAAAACAATTAGTACCGGCCCAAGGCTGCCTGCTGAAAACCAGCTAGAGGAGGCGGCTTTTAGAGGTTGTGCACCACTGGATCGAGTGGGCTCTGTGGGGTGTCCGGCACTCCATCTGGGAACCCCGTGTGAAGGCACCAAGCACTATGGTGCATGACTGGACAGCTAGTGAGTGGGGAGGGGAGCTCCTGCCTGCAGGAGGGGTGGGTGGGGGTGGGACTTGTGTGTGGGTGTGGGCCCCGCTGCCATGGTGCACAGTCCCTGCCGGCGGTGGCAGGCCCTCTGGGCACTCCTGGTCTAATGCAGGCAGAGCCCCCTGGTGGCATGTGGCTCCAACTGAATCCTGGGAACTGCATATGGCAGGATGGAGCCCGCCCGGCCTGGCCCACTGGCATGTGCCTTCGAACCAAACCAGACTGGCCCCCTGCCAGCATATGGGGCTTCTGGCACAGCAGCTGGGAGCTGTGCGCCATCAGGCTGGGCCAGCTCCATGCCTCCACATGAGGCTTCCAGCACTCCAGTGGGAAGCCGCACATGGAGGCATGGAGCCAACCTGGCCCTATGGCTTACAACTCCCCATGACTCCCGGTCTGTGCACCATCAGGCTGGGCAGCTCCATGCCTCCACGTGCAGCTCCCTGCTGGAGTGCTGGAAACCCCAAATGGAGGCACAGCGCCAACCCGGCCCAATGGCGTGTGGCTCCCGCCTGTAGTGCTGGGAGCCCCATGTACTGGCACCGAGCCAGCCCAGTCTGGCTTGAAGAAGTGTACCAGCGGGCCAAGCCAGAGTGGCTCTGTGCCGCCATGTGCAGCTCCTAGGATTCAGCTGGAAGCATGTGTCGCCAGGGGGCTCTGCTTGCTGCAGGCCAAAGCGCCTCAAGGGCCTGCTGCCAGCTGCTGCTGCTGCCAGCAGCAGGGGCTGTGCACCATGCCAGGTGGGGAGGTGGGGGTGCATGATGCTGAAGTCCACACACACCCCATACCCACCCTCACACATTCCCAGAACTCCCCCCACCACAAATGCCACACCTCCCATAGACCCCCAACAAGACCCACACCCCTTCACAAACCCCATCCAGAAATCACACACATGCATACCCCCGCACAATATACAAGAGTAAGATTTTATTTTGAACTATGATGCAATTACTTCTAGATACACTATGCAAACACACACAAATCAGGACAAAACTCGTTTTTTAAATAAACTTACAATATGCTATAGTAGATGTTCAATTTTTAGTATACGAGTTACTGTTTTTCTGGTTCCTGTGCGGGCCGGGAGCGGTCCGAGGCCCTCGGGGGGGGCGGTTTTCGTGCGGCGGGCTGTGGCCAGCAGCCCGGACACGCCGGGTCGGGGAAGGCAGGCGGCATGCTAGAATTAGGCACGGAAGCTTAGTGGTTGATTAAAGATTATTTTACTTACACCGAAGATGGTCGCGGTGCAGGCAGGAAAACTTGCTTGAGTTGCAGTTACAGACAGAAAAGAAGAGAGGCGGACTAGAGTTCCTTCCTGTGAACCTTCTAGCCCAATCCAGTTGAAAGCTCTAAACTGCGAGCCCGTCATGTCAACCGAAGAAAGTAACTCGAAGCAAAGAGCTCTGCATACACTCGCATGAAGTTTGTTAGGCTCCGTGGAACTTGCGCGCAGGGAAGGGTACGTTGAGGGATCAGGCGGTGACGGGGAGAGGCGAGAGGCTGATCAGACCCCTATAGCCTTCTTGAGATACACGCTGGGTCCGATAGGCTCTGCAGCGCTTAGAGATCTTCACGAGATGTGAAGTTCTCCTCCTCCAGATGGTTGTGGAGTCCTCCCTTGCGGGGTTCTCCTCGGAGTTCTCCAACTTGGGCAGAAACCGCTCAAGCCTCTTATACGGCTAACAGGCCAATCACTAGCCGCCACGTGGGAATAATTTAGAACTGGCCAATAGTGGGACACAAATTTGTATACGAATGGCGGGAACTCCTTGCACCGTGCATTTCTCTTTTGCAACCTAGAAATGCACCCTGCAAAGAAAGCTACGAGTGGCAGGAAATAATTTAGCAGTGCCAAAGCGCACACAAACAAAAATCACACCCTTGGGTTGTGACAGTTCCAAGGTGGCAAACCCGCCTTCCAAAAGGAGTACTTCTGGGGAAGGGGAGGGATGTGATTTCTGGTGGCAAAGGTCAGGGTTTAGGGGTGGGATTTCCAGTCCCAGGATGGCAATGAGGGGGTGGAGCAGGTGCCAAGAGGTGGGGCTACCCTTGTGGCCTTCTACAGCTCACCAGAAGTCGTTAAGTGGTTCTCCAGTCAAAATAATTGCCCGCTCCTGGGTTAGTATGAACCCCAAATTCTAAGCATATTTGATGGGAGAAAGATATAAACCCATATGGATTCTATCTAAAGGCAGTATTCGCCTTAACCACTGCAAATTAAAAACAATGATTTTAGAACTCAATGTATGTGATTATATAAACTGCTGAGGCACCTATACATGTGCAGTGAAGCTGCTCCGACGTGCTGTAATTACAGGACTTAGGAGCAGACTCTGCTGGAGCATGGTATTTAGTGCGCTTCAGCGTCATATGGATCAGTGTCCCCATGCTGACAAATGGCGGCTAGGGCGCTTTAACTAAAGCTTGTTCAGTGAGCTTTAAAGCATCTCCGTCACCATTTTTCAAGACAGGGACATTGATACGCGTAACACTCTGGGCACTTTAGTTAAAGCGACTCTCAGAGCTGCTCTCATTAAAGTGCCACTTTCCCCCTGCCCCCCCATGCATACACACACTCCCGGAAGACCTGTATGGACACCACTGGACTCCCCCTTGTGGCCATTTTGTTCACTAAGCTATTGAAGCAGTAGGAAAGAGGCAGTGTCAACTGAAAGTAGTGCAGTGGGGGTTTTTTCCACAATTCCACTGCAGACCTGGAGGTAGGTTTGATCCTAGACAGTAGTTCCAGGCTTGGGTGCAAGTTTGCTCCTTTAAAGTAGCTCTATAATGAACTAAGTATTCTTTGGGAGAGATGTATTTTAATCCAGAGTTCTGAAGTGGCAGCTCGCTTTATACAAAATACAAGACCCAGAACATTTTACAGTCATGAATAGATGCCTTTTAACTTTTCTCCGAAGCAGGGAAGAATGAATTTCATGCATTTCATGTGAATCTAGAGCTTGATCCAAATCCCTTAAAATCTGTGTCGGTCTTTCTTTTGGCCTCAGCAGGCATTGCAGCATACCAAGTGAGCAGTACTAGAAATATATGTGTATAATGTTCAGGACTAGTAGTAACTACTAATTAGTTTTGACTTATTTTGTATCTGTTTGCATACAGAATTTGCTTATCTAGTTCACATACAGCACTTTAAAATGTATTGGTACTGATGATTTTTAGTATTTATCGGTTTAAAATGTGCTTTCAGGAGTTCATGAAGCACAACACTCCCCGTCAGAATAAGAACTGTTTGAAGCATTTTGATCTTTCAGAGTACAGACAGATACTTAGTGACTTGGCCATTCATATCTATCACCAATTCATCATTGTAATGGAGAACAACATTCAGCCAATGATAGGTAAGAGGGAAGAAAAAAATTCAGTGAAAATAAATCCACTAATAGCTTCTTAGGTATTTGAATAAATCTTGTATGTGAACACAGGGACAGGTAAAAGTGCTGTCCAACCTACATGCACAAATGCTGTTTATAATACAGGTATGTACACACTCCATGTGCATGTGTATATACATTTGTATTTATATATACATATGTGTATTTTTTACACAGAGTTTTATTGACTGGAATATCACCAGAAGTTTTGAAAATGCATTATCCCTTATAGCAGTTTTTCCCAGTGTGGAGCAGGCCCCTGGAATGCAGAAAGTTACTGGGAGTGGAATCAAAGATGTAGAAATTAAACATGTTAAAAATGCTTGAGAGGGTTGAAGGGGGCTTGGTTAGTATCATTTTCCTACAGGTGGGGGGACTCCTTAAGGAACACCTGCCTTCCAAGTCTCCCCTTCTTCATTTGCCCTGCAGTTCTCTATCTTGACTCTATTCCAACTGGCCATACAGGCAACCAGTTATGAAGCAGCAGTGTGTTCCATTTCTGTATTGCTGTTTTCAATGTAGGTTTCAGATTTTCTTCTTGAGGACTGCAGCAGTTCTGTTGTTACACAGTGGCTTTTTTTTCTTGTCCTTCTCTAATTATTTGTGATACCACAAAACCCCTTTTAATTTAAGGTTGTTGTAATGCAGACTTTTACCTCTCACCAAAATGTTAACAACAGACGGCAAGAAATGGCTTCTGGAAGTTACAGGAGCTTGTACACATGATGAAATTGGCCTTTTAAGCAGTTTAATTGCCCTTTTTCACCGTCTTAAAAGACTTCACTGTTTACACCTGTGGTGGCGTATTATGTTTTAATTTCATCATGGTGTACATGTGCAGCAGTGTATTTCATGTTAAATGACTTTGTATGTAGCAAAGTAAAATGCATCCAATGTATTTTAGTTTGCTATGTAACAAATTGCAGTGATACATCCAGAGAAGGTGGCGGGGATGCTGCATGGGGCAGATAACATTGCCTTCCATCCATTTTGGAATACCACACTGAGATAACAGGGCCTTGAGATTTATCATGAAAACATGCATGCCCATAATTTTCATACACATGCTCTTTCTCCATCATTACTAGAGTACCAACAAGCTTTAATTTTTTTTGGTTTTCCTGTTGTCTTTTCAGTGCCAGGCATGCTTGAATATGAAAGTCTTCAGGGAATTTCTGGCTTAAAACCAACAGGATTCCGTAAACGTTCTTCTAGTATAGATGACACAGATGCCTACACAATGACTTCTATCCTGCAACAACTCAGCTATTTTTATAGCACGATGTGCCAGAATGGCTTGGACTCTGAGCTTCTAAAGCAGGCAGTGAAACAGCTTTTCTTTCTCATTGGAGCTGTCACCCTCAATAGTCTCTTCCTCCGCAAGGACATGTGCTCTTGTAGGAAAGGAATGCAGATAAGGTAAAGCCAATAAAGTTTCAGCAAGTGCTCACTTGAGAGAGAGGATTGTTTACTACACTGTAGTGCTGTTCATTATGTTATTTGATGCCCTGTAAATATTCCAGTGGGAGGTGACAACCAGTTCTGACTCTCTAGTTGGACAAGGACTGTCCTATCTCTGAATTTTCTCATCTCAAAATACTCCATGTTATGGTACTTATGACCATTTAAATTTATGCTTTACGTGAAGTACAAAATAAATATCATTCACAGCAGGGTGAAAGGCCACATGCTCAAATCTGGAGACTTTGTTGTCTTTCCCCCTGGGATATGTTTAGAGATTTTATTATACAAGTTCATGCATAGAAATGTATCATAGTGGATTTTATTGCATAAAGCAGAAACAATATTCCCCAACTAGTAAACAGAGAGAAGCAGAATTCCTTTACTTACTGATTAGACAGGCATCAGGACAAAACCACTGAGGATTTCTCCTGAGCCTCCACAGTTCCTTGTTAACATGTGCATTGAAGAGAATATAGATCTTACTTTTTGCAAAAGAGAAAGTTAATTTGCAGGCCATTAAACGAGTGGTTCTCATCCTTTTTAGGCTCAAGGCACCACTTGGAAAATGCCAGCTCTTACTTTTCACTAATATTTTTCTGTAGTAAAAAAAAAAAAAAAAAAAAAAGTTCTCTGTTGCAAAAAAAACTCAGAAAGACGAAAACTTGGTCAGAATGTTTTTAACACTGTAAATTATACTTGAAACTCTGGGTTTATCTTGTGGAGCTCGTTTGCACATGTAACAGTGCTAACATTGCTTGGCACTCTGGCCCCCTTGAAAGGTTCTCAAGGCACCCCAGGGTGCTGCAATACTCTTGTTTAGAATCCCTGCACTAGATAGTTTGGAGGCTGAACAAAAGAAAATCAGTAGTGAGAGGGTTTTTCTGGATGACTCAGGGAAATGGCAAAGATGGAGATGTTTACCCTAGATCAGGGGTTTTCAATCTTTTTTTGGTCAGTGTACCCCCGGCAGCTGGTCGAAAAAGCAGGAGTCCCCTAGCAGCCAGACCAGAAGGGGGGGATCCCCCCAGTGACCAATCGAGGGGGGGAATGGGGTTCCCCCAGCAGCCAGTCGACGGGGAGGGTCCCCTGCTGCCGAGTACCCCTGGAGGCTATCACAAATACCCCAGGGGTACGTGTACCTCCGGTTGAAAACCCCTGCTCTAGATCATCACTCAAAAGAACTTGACCCAAATGGTGCAACGATCATCAGCTCTTTGCTGTCAAAAGAACTGCAAGAGTTAAGTTGGAAAGGAATTTTGAGTACTGTTGCAACCTCCTGATAGGATAGGGCTACACGTAGCCTAGCGGTGAAACTGGGGAGTCATCTTTTCTAGTGCAGTCTATATGAAATGCAGAAAATAAACAGGATAAAATGGTGCAAATTTAAACTAGATTTTTTAAATGATTTTAATTTCTTTAATAATCTTAGGTGTCTATATATCATTTTTTACCTAATGTGTATGAATTTTAACCAGACAGTCGTGTGTGCCTTTATCCTCCAGTGTTTCTTTATCGTCATTCATTACTGGGTTAGTTTAGCCTGACTAGTTTGTGAGGGGAAGCTGACAATTCTATGCTTATTTATGCCCTAACTCCAGATGCAATATCAGCTACTTAGAAGAATGGCTTAAAGAAAAGAATTTGCAGAACAGCACTGCCAAGGACACCCTGGAGCCTCTCTCTCAGGCAGCCTGGCTCCTTCAGGTCAACAAGATCACAGATGATGATGCCAAGGAAATATGTGAATGCTGTACATCCCTGTCCACTGTGCAGGTGATGAACTGTGTCATTTTCTACTGTCATTCTCTGTTTTTTGCCAGAGCTCTCAGCCTTCCACTTTGTGTATACAACGTCTCCAAGTGCTCCAGCCCACTATATCCCACTCTAGGCTGTGAGTCTTGATTTCTTTGTTTGCATATTCAGCTTCTCTGTCTTGTTCTGTCATGGCTGCCTGTTCACCTTGTTCCATGTCTAGGTTTGCTCTCAGTTCTGTCCTCTTCTCTGTTCTCCAGGATCCTTTCCTTTTCTTTGGAGATAAGCTTTAGCAGGTATCACACTTGTAACATTCACTACTTTCCTGGGGGGAAAAAAATCTACCTCTTTAAAAAAAAAAAATGCTTACTGTGACTTCAGTCAGTTAAATATCGATGAAGACATAATGTTCATTCCTTTTCACTTGAATCTATTACTCTTTTGTGTCATGGATTGCAAACATTAAGCAAGTCTGTCTTAATTTATACAGATAGTAAAGATCCTCAATTCATACACTCCTATAGATGACTTTGAGAAAAGAGTGGCCCCAGCATTTGTTCGTAAAGTACAGGTAAGATCCATAAATTGTTTCCACTTATGCATTCAAGTTACAGTGGATTTTCCACACACTCTTTACTTTGCTAAGTGTTCATACTAGACTTCCTTTCAAAGCATGATACAGTTACTGCTCTCCTGTGTAAGGGACAAGAAAAGAATGATATGAAAGCGAATAATTTAGAAATAATTTAGAATTACAGTAACAAAACTGTCTTCTGTTACTTTGTTTCTGAAACATTAGACCTTTTCCCTGACCCTCTCTGTTCTGATTTCAGGCCATGCTAAATAATCGAGAAGATATGCCACAGCTGATGCTAGACACCAAGTATCTCTTTCAAGTGACGTTTCCCTTTACCCCCTCTCCATATGCACTGGAAACTATACAAATCCCCAGTAGTTTCAAACTTGGCATTCTAACAAGAGTGTAATAAAAAAAAAAAAAAGAAGGATTTGCCAATTGTCCATCAAAGACTAAATGAAGAGCAAACTTTTGTTACTCAGTCCTGCGACTGGAGCTTAAAGACAGAGTACTCTTTTTAAACAGCTGTGAAATCAGGACACCAATTGTAAGAGTAACTTGTGTTCCAGCCTATAACTTCTGTTGTCCTTTACCCAATATTGTTCCTTTTGTGTTGCATTTCTGCGAAGGATGAGAGCTGGATACTTAAGTGGCCTTATGGTTTTGGAGCCAGAATGTCACTGAGACAGTAACAGAAATCTATATTGGTGCTTCAGGATCAATGACAGACTGCCACTCAGGTAGAAAATGGGGCAACAGCTGTTATGGTATAACTTTTATGGTGCCATCTCCTCTCACAAGTGAGCTCTGTTTCATAGGAGTTCTTCTCATTGCTTTCATCTGATGGATTTATTTTACAGCAGTCTTCACCCAGCCTCATTTCCTGTGGCATCATCCCTTCCATTAAAGTAGTCTTCTTTAATAACAGCAAGTAAATAATGTTTTGTGCCCTCAAGAGAATGTAGCAATAGTAAATGGAAGGTTTTCCTACAACAATTTAAACAAAAATCAATACAAATTGCTCCTCTGAACTTGGGAAAAGTTCTGGTATAAATGTAAGGAAGCTCTTCAGCAAACTAAGGTTCTCCTTTTCACTGACAGGCTGCTTTGTTTCTCAGATGTCTGTATTATGGTTTTATAGACAGGCACATACCAGAGAGCTGTTCCAAGGAGAGGTGGGACTAGGGCACTTAGTTTTCCAGAAGGTTTCAATTCCACATAATAAAATTCCAGGGAGTTCAGCTCTGGGGTTCTGTTTTGGCCCATTCTGGATTCTCACAAGGGAATGATGTTGTTTTAGGTCTGACTTAAGGCCTGTTGTATCTGAAGCAACGGTAATCTGAAAGTGTGTTAGGAAACATAACTGAAATAGAGTTTTTAATAAGAACTTACCAGCACTATATATCATGGAAATTCTGAGTTTCTACAGACCATCCTGCTTGTTTCCCCTTTAACATTCTGATGTGCAGCCAGTCAGGAGAACCCTAGCATATCTCACTTAGACATTTCGGCCCTTTGGGAGGTGCTCATTTGCCACAGTGGTGGGTGTCGGAAAAGAACCAAGAGAAACAGGAAAGGGTCCCCTTCTGCAACCACTCTGTATGAGCTCTGTTTGTCACAAGGCTGAGTCAGTGGGCAGTAGGCAATGTTTGCAGGACTGTGCTCTAAACATGTATAAGTTTCTGGTATGACCATCCTTGGTGACTACTTTTTTAAATTTTTTTAAGAGGGTGATATACTTGGGGAAGGCCCTGCTTTGAGCAGGGGTTTGGACTAGATGACCTCCTGAGGTCCCATTCTGTAGTCCAGCTCCCTCTGTATGTGCAGACTACTTGGTGAGTAAATCCAGCTCCTGTGGTGAATCCTGTTACCAGATGCAGCCTGGTTTCTCTGTATGTGTTCTTATTTTTTTTCATTTGATGTATACACTCTTTGGAAGCAGGAACAATGCCACCTCTTTGGTCTGTACAGCAGGACACCCACACACAGCATACAGCAGATAACTTTTTATTGATTTGCTATGGTGCCCTGTGAGAATAATTGAAGTAACAACACCCTAGAAAAAAACCCAGGTTGATCCTGATGATGATTTACTAATCAGGTGTTAGAACTTAAGTATTCAAATGTAATATTAGTAAGGTACAGAATTCCTGTGTGCAAGGACAGATTTCAGTTGCTGCAATATATTTAAGAGGTTTTAACTTAATTCAGTTAATTTAAACATTGGTCATATGAAGGAATGACAAAGCAATGTTTGCAATATATTGCTATAGTATTTCTTTAATTTCACATAACACCATTTGTGAATTTAAAGATAAAACCACCTTTGGTATTTACTAGCATGCAGAGTGATATATGAAAAGTACATAGAGCAAGAATTTTTATTGCTTCTAAAATAAATATATATAGTACTCAAGAGTGTCACAGGCATATAAGTAAGCTTATGCTTTCCACAGGTTAAATAGCTTTATTGTAACATCTAAATAATACCAGAGTTATTTTACTTTTTCAATACTCAAACTTTTGAAAAAAACTCATTTAAATTCTGTAAGGCTTGGTGAATACTTTTGGTTAGGGGTTAAACTATTGTATCTCCTTCTACATACTACCCCAGTCACGGGGACTGCCAAGTAGCGTGTCTGAATATCTGAAATGTGTGCTGTCTTCGGCTGCTCCTGCATTTCCATAATAAATACTGGTATGAAAATAAGTCTGGGTGTTATAATCTGTATTTATGATATGGCTATATTGATGTTGGGGCACCGAAGGCATCTGGGTCCATTACAAGGCCTAGTGCTTCAGTGAGACTGGGAGTTAGGTAGCCTGTTGCTTGAGAAATGCTGAGGTTGGGGTCCTGTCTGTTAGCCAGGACAGGTTTTTCCCCCATGACTGCTTTGAGATGGACATCCTTTTCCAGGAGGGGTTGGAGGTCATTAATGATGTGTCTCGGGTGTTCAAGCCAGGGGACTCTGTCAGAGATTCCCAGTCTGCGGCCTGGTACGGGACCGCAAAGGGTTGGTTGCTGGTCTGCAGGAGGGTTGGTTGCCAGTCCAGAAGTGACCGGCATACTGCGGAGTGGCAGCCAGCCCTTTTTTATACTTAGTATATCGCTCTGCAGTATGCTGGTCACTTACGGACTGGCAGCCAACCCTCCTGTGGAATGGCAGCCAACCCTTCGCGGCCAAATCAAATTAAATCAATGAAAAAAACCCATCAAATGAAAAAATAACACATACCAAGCTTATCTTAGTTACTGAGTATAAAAAAGGGTTGACTGCTGCTCCGCAGTATGCCGGTCGCTTCCGGACTGCAGTTTGCCAGTCCTCAGTTTGCTGGTCCATGGTCACTTCCAGTCCGTGGTTTACTGGTCTGTGATCTAAAAAGGTTGGGAACCCCCGCTCTAGGTGACGACCAGAGGGACTCCATTGTCCTTGTCCTCAGGTTGGAATTATAGCAGGTCAGAATGAGGTTTGAGTCTGGCTTTGTTGATTTTAGTGGCTACAGTTTTGGATATGTATTTCTAATTGTAGGAATCGCTGCTCCAGATCCCTAAGGTGGGCATCCCAGTCAGTGGAATCAAAGCAGATATTGCTTCTCCCAGCACTGCCCAACACCTTGCTCTCCCCTCTTCTTCTCTGTCCCTCCCTTCTGCGTCTGTATTTCCATTTCTGTCTTATACACAGCTTTGTGCACATCACAGATCTGATGAAGTGAGCACGAGCTCACAAAAGCTTGTGCTATACATACGTGTGTGTACGTGTGTGTACATCTACTTTGGTTAGTCTATAAGGTACAAATCTACCCTGCCTTCTATTTGATTTTTTTGACAGTTACCAAGAGCATCTCAAGCTGCCTGTTACCTATCACCTTCTCCTTGGAGTCCATATCTTATGTCCGTATCACAGAACTACTTCTGATGGCACACGTATCTGCTTCCAAAAAACAGTTCATCACTATGCAGGGTAATTTAACTATTTCACAGAGTTAGGAGTGAAAGAATCCTACTAATATGCTCAAGAAGAAGAAAAGGTAGATACTTTTCACAGGAAGGGTCTCTATCATGAATAATGGGACAGAAGTTTGAAGTAACAGCCTCAGGCTGGATAATATTATGCACATTTATGGACTGATCCTACCCCTATTAAATGTAATAGCAACACTGCAATTGGTGGGATAGGGTATGCAGGTACACAGCTACACCTTGTCATCTGGAATTCCTCTTTCATCATGCCCTATTTAAGCCACCAGCCTTTGGAATGAGCAGTTCAACTGGAGTCTTTGGGTCAGATATAAGATGAAAGAATGACAGATCTGGACCGATTTTCAGTGTTCTGTGTTTCCTTATGTTCTCATTAGAAATGTCTGTATTTACAGGGAATAGTTCACACATGTTTTAAAAAATTACTGGCATTTTGCAAATTCTGAGCATGTGAACCTGTTCTTCCATGTGAATTTTCATATGTAAACTGTTCATTCAGATACCTGGCCTGTATGCACGTTTTTTCAGACCGCTTTGAAAATCCAGCTTTTCTGGCCTCATTCTCAAAGGCTTTGAGCACCAGAAGCTCCATACATCCTCGGGGGAAAATGTAGCTGCTTGGCATTTTTGAAAATCAAGTCATTAGTATTGTAGCTCTTGGTTTTAATTTTTCAAGTGCCCATGGATGAGATCCGTTAAGTGTATGCTTGGTGTTAACTTCCACTCCTTTACCTTCTTCAAGATGACATTCTGAGGGTGAAGGGCTACATGAGCAGAGGCAGGAGATGCATCTGAGAGAGGAAGATAAATAGTGAGGATAGGGAGGGTGAAGGTGCAATGCAAGAGACCATATCAGTGATGGGGGTAGGTGCTAGGTGAGCCTTCAACAAGAAGCTTGAACTTTATTTGCATTGTAGCAGGAAAGCACTAAAATGGTTTCTAAAAGGAGAAAGGACCCAAGCAACATGTAAGAGAGAGAATTTTTGGCAGCATCATTTTGAATACTGTCTTTCTAAAAATGACTGTTATGAATTACCTCCAACTCAGTCACCGGCTATTCTTGTGTTGTCAGGTCCTGTTCCCCACCACTTTACCTCCGGTCTTATTGACTGTTCTGAAAAAAACGCCCAATTACACCTAATGACATAACTCCTTTGATTTCACATCTGTAAAGAATGTGGCCTTCTGAATTGTTTTCATCGTTCAGGCATGAATGCAACTTTCAACCAAGCTTTTAAAAAACCCAAAGCAGCAGCAAATGTTAATCTTGTTGATTTTCAAGTTATTGGTTTGTGCTACATAAATATAAGTCATGTTTAAAGAAATATGGATTAATCCAGAATGAGACACTTTTTAATCTGTTGCTTCAATTTATTTTTTAAAGTATGAGAAAAATATACAGAGATTTAACTTTGAGAAGGCCTTTATGGTAAATTCAGTAGCTGGCAAGTCATCTACCCACTCACTGGTTCTTAACTTTAATGTTTAGAAACAGTACAAAAAACTGTGAGTTCATGTGGACAAAACATGGTCCATCTCAAAAGCATAGTCAGGTTCTTTGTTCCTTACTCTGAATCCTCCTGGCCATCAGCAAGAGTTTTGTCTGAAGACTGCAGGTCAAACAAAGACCTTGAAGTGTAAAC